TGATATTAATTTGATTTTTTTACGGTCTAAGTCGTATGTTCCAACTTCCTCAATTTGTATGGGCGCTACGCTCTTCGGTATGATACGTCTTTATCAATTTTCTCCTTATAGACGCAACAGATAGAAGTAAGATTAGTAGCGATCAAAAGCGCTTTTTTATCGCATTAAGCCTATTCCCCTTTCATTTTTCGCGAACACTCCCTTTAAATAAAAAAATAAATTTTAAAAAGAACCAAAATTTCAAATAATCATGTTTCAAATATTCATGTTTCAAATATTCATGTTTCAAATATCCATGTTTCAAATAATCATGTTTCAAGTATTCATGTTTCAAATATTCATGTTTCAAATATTCATGTTTCAAATATACAAATTTCGAATATTCCTGTTCCAAATATTAAAATTTCAAATATTCATGTTCCAAATATTCAAATTTCAAATATTTACGTTCCAAATATTCAAATTTCAAATATTCATGTTTCATGTTCCAAATATTCAATTTCCAAATATTGAAATTTCAACTATTCATATTTCAAATATTCAAATTTCAAATATTCATATTCCAAATATTCAAATTTCAAATACTAATGTTTCAAATATTCATGTTTCAAATATTCATGCTTCAAATATTCATGCTCCAAATATTCATGTTTCAAATATACAAATTTCAAATATTCCTGTTCCAATTATTCAAATTTAAAATATTTATGTTCCAAATATTCAAATTTCAAATATTCATGTTTCAAATATTTATGTTTCAAATAATCATGTTTCAAATATTCATGTTTCAAATATTTATGTTTCAAATATTCATGCTCCAAATATTCATGTTTCAAACATACAAATTTCAAATATTCCTGTTTCAAATATTAAAATTTCAAATATTCATGTTCCAAATATTCAAATATTTACGTTCCAAATATTCAAATTTCAAATATTCATGTTCCAAATATTCATGTTACAAATATTCATGTTTCAAATATTCATGTTCCAAATATTCATGTTCCAAATATTCAAATATTCAAATTCAAATATTCAGAATTCAAATATTCATGTTTCAAATATTCAAATTCAAATATTCAAAATTCAAATATTCAAAATTCAAATATTCAAATTCAAATATTCGAAATTCAAATATTCAAAATTCAAATATTCATGTTTCATACCATTTTCGATGAAACCTGATTCATGTACACTGTACACTGTACACTGTACAGTGTATACCACATTAAAATGAAAACATTTTGGGTAAAAACTGTTCAATAAAAGAAAAAGGAAAAATAAAAAATAATAAAAAGATAAAATGTTTTTACCTTGAAAATGTTGACATTAGATTTGATGGATCGGTTTCAGGAGTTAAGGAATAATCTGATCTGAAAAATATAAAATTTCACTGAGACGTATCAAGGGACCCTCCATTTATAGAGTGGTATGTCCGATTCAACAACGGTACTCTTTACTAATCAGTTAAAAATCAATTTTTTTTAAACAGAAAAACAAAGATATCTTTCTCATTGTTATTCAGATAAAGAATAAAGTTGTGAATAGTACATATCACTCCACAAGTCCTGTGAAATAAAAGTTTCACAAAAAATTGGTTTACTTGAACTGAGTGAGACGGTTTGTTTTGTTGAATGGAGATGTTTCTGGGAGTCCCTCTGTATCACGTTCAGTCAAATACCTACCAGTAAATAATTTAATTTAACAAAATCCACGACTTCCAGCTTAATCTCCAGTTTCAAGCTCTTAGTCTCAAAGACTTTGTTAATTATAAAGACAAGGCGTTGGAAATTTCTCCGACTATTGTGTACGCTAGTACAGCTGTATTTTGACGTCATTGGTTATTTTGGTTGTTTGAGAGTCTAACGATCGACATTAAAACCTTAAATATTTAACATAATTGTGAATGTTTTAACTAAAATTAATGATATTAATTTGTATTTTAAAATTTATTTAATCATTTGTTGGATATGAGGATCGTCTGGTGAAATATAGCTGAATTTGTGATAAAGTTACGCATCTCTTTTGTATCAAAAATAGCCAATAATTATCAAAGTCTATGCTTAGTCTTTGTTTTAACATTCAAACAAATAATCCTCAACTTTTCAGGATTATTTTAATCATGGTCTTAACCTCTTTAATAAAAGGTCCAGTGAAAATGATATAAAGTAACCAACTAATTTTTATCAGAAAATGATATAGAGTAACAAGCTAATTTTTATCAGAAAATGATATAAAGTGACCAGCTAATTTTTATCAGAAAATGATATAAAGTAACCAGCTAATTTTTATCAAAAATGATATAAAGTAACCAGCTAATTTTTATCAGAAAATGATATAAAGTAACCAGCTAATTTTTATCAGAAAATGATATAAAGTAGACCAGCTAATTTTTATCAGAAAATGATATAAAGTAACCAGCTAATTTTTATCAAAAATGATATAAAGTAACCAGCTAATTTTTATCAGAAAATGATATAAAGTAACCAGCTAATTTTTATCAGAAAATGATATAAAGTAACCAGCTAATTTTTATCAGAAAATGGTATAAAGTAACCAGCTAATTTTTATCAGAAAAGGATATAAAGTAACCAGCTAATTTTTATCAGAAAATGATATAAAGTAACCAGCTAATTTTTATCAGAAAATGATATAAAGTAACCAGCTAATTTTTATCAGAAAATGATATAAAGTAACCAGCTAATTTTTATCAGAAAATGGTATAAAGTAACCAGCTAATTTTTATCAGAAAAGGATATAAAGTAACCAGCTAATTTTTATCAGAAAATGATATACAGTAACCAGCTAATTTTTATCAGAAAAACAATTTTAAAACTTTTCAATCAACGTATCTTTATTGCACTAAAGCACCTGAACAAAAGTAGTCGATGCAGATAAAAGAAAAATTCATTTTGTCTCGGTCTTGTTCATTGTTTCCAAAATTCAAGGAATGAAACGTATCATGGAAAATATGTAGCCTCGTATCTTCTCTGAAAAGAATGGTATAAAAGGAACTTAACACTCGCCTCAGACTCTGATTTTATAATCCTCATATCTTTCAAACCCTGATGTACGTCGTTATGGGTTATTTTAAAACATGAATATTCTTCCAGATAAAAGTTAAAGCTCAAAATATCAAAAGTTTTCGCCGTCAAGATGAAATTAGAAAGGGATCATCAAATTAGAGTTTAAGGCAAGTGTGTCTTCAAGCTGTACAAAATAAACTAACTTTAAATTCTAAAAAATATTTAAAACAGTTAATATCGTTATGTATTGTGTTGGTTTGTTTGTATCAAATAAACACCTTATAAAGGCTTAACCGATCAGTGTCCGATTTAATGAATTTGAGCCGTGTCTTAAATCCGCCAAAAACCGATTTCAATTAATAAAATAATAAAATCCGCTAAAATGGTTGCTAATTAGAGTATGATAAAAAATGGCGGTTTGAAAATCAACTGTTAGTTTAGCTAGAATTGATAATGGAAATTAGAGCGCAAAGCGCCCAAAAGTCTTGTTTATGTAAACATAAATAACCTGAAATAGTCCAGTTTATCCTCTGGTGCTAAAACATTTCGAAATTGTAAGTTCAAACGATTAAAAACGAAGTAACTGTAATTAGAAGAAAGGATATATATTTTTACGGTTGTTTACATTATCATATTTGAATAAATATTATGAAATCAAAGTCAAATAAAAAACATTTAAAAGTTTTACTATAGTATTTAACCTGCAACCCTTGATGGCAACTTCTTCAGTTCTTTCCAAGATGTTTCCCCAACAGGTTTATCAGCTAAAGCATGAAATTGTTCAAAAAATTCAAATAATCAGTTTAGTTAAATAATCAATGGTATTTTGCTTTTTTAAAGAATGAGAATGCAAGAACTTAACAAGACATTAACGACGTTTTGAAGGAAAAGTTCGCGGAAATGAAAGGCTAACGTCGAATTGAATTCTAGGTCGATAAACGTCAGATTGGTTGAACCGACCGGGCTTGTATCTAAAGAGAAAATGCGTAAACACGACTAATACCGAAGAACGTAGCGTCCATACAAATTCACAAAGTTGCATTATTCCACTCCAATCGTAAATAAACGTAAATAAATGACGATCATTTGGTCGCTAGATGTCTCTGCTCTCGATGCTTCAGGAGTTCAACGAGGGAGAAGCGCCTTTAAGCGACAAAACAAATCTTCGCTTAAAGTAAATAGTCTGAAAAAAAAAATATTATGAAATATCAATTATATATGAATGCATCGAATTAAGTTCCTATATGGTATAATATCTGACTGGTTAGTTTTAAACTAAATTGAATAATTTTTGATCTAAGTGAAATATTGCAACTTGATGAATGTACATGGATACTACACTCTTCGGCATGAGTCGTGTTTAACCATTTTCTCCTTACAGATGCAACAGATAGAAATAAGCTTAGTATCGTCATCATCAAATTAGATTTGACGTTAGCATACTCCCCCTTTCATTTTTCGCAAACCCTCTCCCTTTAAAGATTACTATATAATAAAGATCTTCGCTCAAATATAATCATATATAAATATGTTCGGGCCAAATTGGCCAAAATTGTTTTAGGGAACCCATAGGAAGTGGGTACCCTTGGGGGTGACAAGGGCTACAAAATTGAATTTTTTTTTATTCAAAATAAAATTTCTAAAATCAATATTGTTTTTAAATAAAATTTTTAAAAAGTATTTTTAAAATTCCACGGACAAAAATGTTTACCATAGTCATTCCCAGTGATTGTATTTTGCCTGGTTTCATCTGCTAAAGCTGGAAATATCTGTCCAGGATCAACATTTATACCGTCCGTATCATTCCTTAAACATCAGAATATCTGTCCTGGATCAACATTTATTCCATCCGTATCATTCCTTAAACATCAAAATATCAACATTTATTCCATCCATATCATTCCTTAAACATCAAAATATCTGTCCTGGATCAACATTAATACCGTCCGTATCATTCCTTAGACATCAAAATATCAACATTTATTCCATCCGTATCATTCCTTAAACATCAGAATATCTGTCCAGGATCAACATTAATACCATCCGTATCATTCCTTAAACATCAAAATATCTACATTTATTCCATCCGTATCATTCCTTAAACATCAAAATATCTGTCCTGGATCAACATTAATGCCGTCCGTATCATAACTGAAACATAAAAATATCTGTCCTGGATCAACATTAATACCGTCCGTATCATTCCTGAAAAATCAAAATATCTGTCCTGGATCAACATTAATACCGTCAGTATCATTCTTGAAAAATAAAAATCTTGATTTTCGATTCTCTCTATGTTAACTTATTCTGTACATTTCAAAATGGATGAAAATATAAAATTCTTTAGTTTTCCTGTACGTTTTCATTCCAAAAGATCATAATCAAAATTAGAATTCGAGGTCTCTCTGAAAAATGGGTAAAACTAGGGTTGTTAAACGTTTTTGAAAAAGATCGTTAAAAGATCATTTTTTGTTTCGTTTTTCAATCGTTATCAAAAACGATCGTTTCGTTTTTAAAAACTACCCACTCGTTTTAAACTTTTAGAAAACGAAGAACGATCGATTTTGACAACGATCGTTTTATAAAAACAACCATTTTTAAAAGACGAACTTTGTAAAAGAGCGATCGTTTTAAAAAACAATCGTTTTGTTTTCGATTTTCGTTGTCGTTTTCACAACGTAACGACGAGAACGTGAAAACGTTAACATCCCTAGGTGCAACTGCGATTGGGTATAATGGAGAGACTTGCTGTGTAACATGAACTAAGACTTGCAGTATTGCATGAAGAGAAAAGCTTTAGGATTCATTTGATACCAATAATTTATAATTACCAATATAAATACCAATATGAGACATTTTTTACGGTGAACAATTCTTAAATTAGAGCGTAAAGTCGTTTGTAATATTTCACCAGTTGTTTATAATTCTAGTAAGCCAAGTCCATTAGCGCCTGATCCAATCAAAGTTCAGCCATGTGTTGGTGTCTATTCTGAACCAATAGAAATCTAGCTCATTATCCAAATAGAGTTATGAATACTTCAATCGGCGCTATCAGTAAATGGAAATATTTACTTCTAATGAAACTATGGTGTTAGCCAGCAGTAGAAGAAACTTTTTCTACTTTACTTAATAACATACATTACATAATAACATGGACAAAATATGTAAAAAATACTATTCTACAAACTATGTAGTTGCATGTATACAAACAGGTTGAGAAAAATAAAGAACTCATTGGAAATAAGTTCACTATAGTTTCATTAGAAGTAAATATTTCCATTTACTGATAGCGCCGATTGAAGGATTTATCTCTAATTGGATAATGAGATGGATAAAACGATATATGTTACCGCCATACTATTTCTATTGGTTCAGAATAAACAAACCCATGACTGAACCCTGATTGGATCAGGCGCTAATGAACTCGGCATACAGGAGTGAGTTATTAAAATTAATTTTAAAATCTCGAAGGTTTCTGCAAATTCTTTTAGCAAGGGTCGCCTGTTTGAGGTTTTTATTTCATTGTGAAGACGACATTTTGAAGAAATCTGCAACAACAAAAAAACAGCAAAGGTAATAGTGATAATGAAATTTTCTCTATAAGAATTGTACATCTTCAAAATCTCTCATTGGCATTAAATGAATCCGAACGTTTTTCTCTACAATACAACACTTCAAGCTCAAATATATTACATAGCCGGTCTCTCCCTTTAACATTTTTAATCTCTTCGGAGTGTAAAAAAAACACTTATTATGTGATATCTATAAAATTCGATGTAGTTTTATAAAATTGTCGTCTTCTTTATAGAATCTACACTTTTGGTAAAACAGAACCCGCATCTGCAAAATAATGATTTTGGAGAAAGCAAAACAGGGCCACTTGGAATTACGTCTGCAGTTCCTTTAAACATGAATAATATAAAAGTACACCTGAGTTTCATTGCCTTTAAGTATGCCGATTTTACCAGGTTTTCATTTACCTGAAATACAAATGAATAGAAAAAAATTCTGATATTTTGGTCTCAAATAATAAAACTTTTTAAGGTTATCTAGAGTCGATTACTTGAGCGTACCACATTCGGAACACAGTGCGGAGAAATTTTTTAAGAATTTTACGGAAGACTTTGACCTGTTGCAAATCAGGCTGGTTTTGACATGTAACATATAACCAAAATGCATTAATTAAGACATTTTTGGTAATTTTTCTGAAACTCCGCTTTTGAATAATTAGTAATTTATAATTCAATTTTTATAAATAATTTTTTTTTAAGAAATCGTGTCTTTGTCACAAAGCTCTGATTTTCTAATCCATACAACAAAATATCTGTATGCCGAGTCCAATAGCGCCTGATCCAATCAGGGTTTTCTAATCCATACAACAAAATATCTGTATGCCGGTCCAATAGCGCCTGATCCAATCAGGGTTCAGTCATGTGTTTGTTGTCTATTCTGAACCAATAGAAATAGTATATCTCATTATCCAATTAGAGATATGAATCCTTCAATCAGCGCTATCAGTAAATGGAAATATTTACTTCTACTGAAACTAAAGTGACAAATTCGTACACCTTAAAATTATCAAATTGTTAGATCAAAAATCAAATGTTTGCACCATCAGGTTGCAAATAAAAAGGGATTAGAAATTTAAGTTTGCGACAAAGACTCAATTACTTTTAGTATACCTCTTTCTTTTCATAGAGCAATTCTAAAACCTCTTCTCCAATTTTTACAAAAGTTTTAAAATCAGTTTTAACATGATCAGTGGTTTCCAGCTGATCAAACAGTTTAACTGCAGTATCAAAAGATTTCTTCCAAGTTGGGCTAAATGTTCCGCAATTCTGAAATGAAGATCAAATAAAAAATATCAAGATACTAATCAACATTGGAGAGCAGTGAAATTATGTTTCCAGGTTAAACCTCTAAGCTTCATCAAAATGTAAAGGGATTATTGCAGCCATTCAATGTCTTAATCAAAATAAAGTGATTGTAATCATTCAATGTCTTAATCAAAAGGTAAAGTGATTATTGTAGTTATTCAATGTCTTAATCAAAATGTAAAGTGATTATTGTAGTTATTCAATGTCTTAATCAAAATGTAAAGTAATTGCAGTCATTCAATGTCTTAATAAAAATGTAAAGCGATTGTAGTCATTCAATGTCTTAATCAAAATGTAGAGCGATTGTAGTCATTCAATGTCTTAATCAAAATGTAAAGTGATTGTAGTAATTCAATGTCTTAATCAAAATAAAGTGATTGTAGTCATTCAATGTCTTAATAAAAAGGTAAAGTGATTGTAATCATTCAATGTCTTAATAAAAATGTAAAGTGATTGTAATCATTCAATGTCTTAATAAAAATGTAAAGTGTAGTCATTCGATGTTTTAATCAAAATGTAAAGTGATTATTGTAGTTATTCAATGTATTAATCAAAATGTAAAGTGATTGTAGTCATTCAATGCATTAATCAAAAATGTAAAGTGATTGTAGTCATTCAATGCCTTAATCAAAATGTAAAGTGATTATTCTAGTTATTCAATATAAAGTGATTGTAGTCATTCAATGTCTTAATCAAAATGTAAAGTGATTGTAGTCATTCAATGCCTTAATCAAAGTCTAAAGTGATTGTAGTCATTCAATGTCTTAATCAAAATGTAAATTGATTGTAGTCATTCAATGCCTTAATCAAAATGTAAAGTGGTTGTAGTCGTGAAATGTCTTAACAAATGTAAAGTGATTATAGTCATTCAATGACTTTTCAAAGAAAGAGTGAAAAGAAACCGTTGGGATTNGTTTAAAATATCAAATGTAGTCATTCAATGCCTTAATCAAAATGTAAATTGATTGTAGTCATTCAATGCCTTAATCAAAATGTAAAGTGGTTGTAGTCATGAAATGTCTCAACAAATGTAAAGTGATTGTAGTCATTCAATGTCTTTTCAAAGAAAGAGTGAAAAGGAATCGTTGGGATTTGAATATGCGTATTTGAATATGCGTATTTGGCGTTTACTAGATACAAATAAACAGACAAGCAAAGTAATAAATACTCTACAGGGTTACCCACAAAGGATGAGACTTTAACGACGATCTGAAACTTAAATAATAACTCGACCCTGGTTTAAGTCTCTGTCTTAACATTTACTCTTCTGATGGTTTATTTACTAATTTACCAAAGAAGGAAACAGGTTTACAGTTGCAGGTAATCATTAATATAAGGAAATAAACAGTATGAATTTTGTAGAGTCGTTACTGTAGTCTCTATCCTTTATGGGTCCCCCAGTAAATAGATAAATATAAAAGATTACTTGTTTGCAGGGCAACACCCTTAATTTGTTCCAGATGGATAATGCAACATTGTCTTCAGCAGGGGTTGTTGATCTAAAACCTAAACACGAACATCTTATTTGAATACAGTAAGAACCAGAAAAATTTGGAATGTGAATACGATATATAGCGAAACTTGTATTTGATGTTGTTAAAAAGCAAAAAGTCGTATTAATAACTCATTAAATCACTTATTAAGTTAAATGGTTCTGTTTGCAGTGTCTCATGTTCATTGGGCGATTTAAAATCACAACTATAGTATATAAAAGAGTTTTCAGGTTATCAACGAATGTTTGAAGAAAAAAAATTTAAAACGCAATATATATCATAATGAAACTCAGGGTATTTCAGATATTTCAGATTCCAAATAGAGGGTGTTAATAAAAAAAACATACAAAGACATTTTGCCATATTTTTTTGCTAAGAAAATTCAACAAACTTGGGATGAAAGTTCACAGAAACACTAGTCTTGGATCTTTCATTACAACTTGTGTAGAAAAATAATGGATAAAAGCCCAAATCGAGAGAGAAAGTTATCTCCGGAAGATGGGAAAGAAGTTGGGTGTTTAAAAACTTCGGCTTGACTCTTGAGTCTTAATTCCTTATACCCAGGTTTAAGGCTTAATCTTAGAACCAAATTTATGAATTAGCTGACATCTTGTGTCACGTGATTAGGCTCGAGTTAGTCCCAATGAAAATAAAACCGACCCTTTATGTATTAATATGCGTAATTCTAATTCTGAAAAAAACATTCTTAAAGTAAAACAACATCTAAATGATTTAGCAAATTAGTTATCTAACACTTTTCTTATTTTCTTGCTGAAAATATACATCAATGGTGTCTTTATTTTAACCTTGCATTTCAATTCATTTACCTTTATTTCTCTTTTCCTCTTCTTTTCCTGATGAAAAAAATTTGAATTATATGAAATTTTTCTATCTTGTTTGTTAAAAATAGGGAACAACATTTTGAGAAAAAATACACATTCAAACTAAAATGAAAAGTAACTAAACTTGCAATGCAAGATAAAAAGTAAGTTTTTGTCTTTAAATCAGGAATATTCTGTTCAAGAGGTTAGAAACATTTTGTTTTAAATTATGAACATTTTGTTCTAAATTAGGAACATTTTGTTCTAAATTAGGAACATTTTGTTCTAAATTAGGAACATTTTGTTCTAAATTAGGAACATTTTGTTTTAAATTATGAACATTTTGTTCTAAATTAGGAACATTTTCTTCAAAATCATGAACATTCTTAACTAAATTAGGATCCTTTCGTTTTAAATTAGGAATATTTTGCTCTAAAGTAGGTACATTCTGTTCGAAATTAGGAATATTTTGTTCAAAATAAGTATATTATTTTTAATTAGGAATGTTTTTTCGAAGTTAGGATAATTCTGGTCGAAATTAGGATCATTTGTTCGAAAATAGGCACAATTTGTTCAAAATTAGGAACATTTTGTTCTAAATTTGGATCCTTTTGTACATAATTAGGAACATTTTTTTCGAAATTAGGAAATTTTTTTTCGAAATTAGGAACATTTTGTTCGAAATTAGGATCATTCTTTTAGAAATTTGGAACACTTTTTTGAAATTAGGAACATTTTTTCTGTAATTAGGAACATTCTAGTCGAAGTTAGAAACATTCTGTTCGAAATTTGGAATTTTTTTTCGAAATTAGGATCATTATGTTCTAAACTAGGATTTTTCGTTTCGATATATGGAATAGAATTTAATAGTGATATTAAAACAATTTTCCAAAAAGATATTTCGAACCAATTTTTAGTTTTTCGAAATTATTTTGTTAAATCTATGTAATTTGCAAAATGTTGTGATTTTTCTAACAGCGGATTACCTTTCTTAATAATGTTTTCCTCATTTTCCGGGCTTAATATATTTGTAATTTTTTGTCCTACAGGGTCTAATTTTTCCTCTTCAGGAACACAATCTGAAAGCAATTGTAAACGATTTTAATTTGCTCCCCACAAATGGTAAAGTGACATAACAATTTGATATAAAAAGGTAAACATGTCAACTTGCAGATTTCTGCAAATTATTCAAAACAAAAACAAGCATGTTTTAAAAAGCCAAATTTTACGCTAAAAGTGTCCATGAAACTTATATCAAATTTGCCACAAGATTTTTGAGTGTTATTGTTAAATATTTTTATAGTTAATGGAAAGNCCCCAATGATTTTATGGAAAAATGTATCCTTATCTCGGATATAAAACTGTATTTTTATTTTAAATTTTAGTGCTAGTTTTAATAAATTTCTCACCCTTGGATGTTTTATCTTCCTCTACACAATCTGAAAAAACAGTAATGAATATAATTCTAAAATACAATTCTAAAATATAATTCTAAAAGCTCAATGTCAATTTATAGTAAAAGCTTTGCAATATTTGTAAAAATATAAACTTAAACCCGCCGCCCAAAGTATCATATGTGTGCTCGTCCAGCGTATCCGAGATAAAAGAAATCATGTAAATATGATATGACTTTCAAGAAATAAACAGCTTTTTCGTGAGTAAGCATTTTTATATACATAGTGTCATAACATCAATTTTCTAATCCCAAAAGCTTTGCAACCCAATGACCCTATATATTTTAAAATATGAATTCTTTTAGCTCAAATTATCTAAGTTTAAAATATCAAATTAGGTTTACACCATCACGTTACACAAATATAGGGATTAGCAAATTTAAGTTTGTGGCATAGAATCAATTCCTTTAAAAAGACAAAGTAAAGTTTAAAAATAGCCTCTCATATGTTAGTTTCATCTAAATCTTACTTTGGGCTGATGCTGTTTCAGAGAGAATTATAATCCAGGCTAACATAATACATTTCATGTCTGTAAACTAATAAAATATGGTCCAATTCATGTCTGTAAACTAATAAAATATGGTCAAATTTATGTCTATAAACGTAAGAAATATGATGTCTGTAAACTAATAAAATATGGTCAAATTTATGTCTATAAACGTAAGAAATATGGTCCAATTCATGTCTGTAAACTAATAAAATATGGTCAAATTTATGTCTATAAACGTAAGAAATATGATCCAATTCATGTCTGTAAACTTATAAAACATGGTCCGATTCATGTCTGTAAACTAATAAAATATGGTCCAATTCGAATGTCTGTAAACTAATAAAATATGGTCCAATTCATGTCTGTAAACTAAAAAAATATGGTCCAATTCATGTCTGTAAACTTATAAAATATGGTCCAATTCATGTCCGTAAACTAATTAAATATGGTCAAATTTATGCCTGTAAACGTATAAAATATGGCCCAATTCATGTCTGTAAACTTATAAAAATATGGTCCCTGCATTTATGTGTATAAACTTATAAAATATGGTTCAATTCATTTTTTTAAACGTATAAAATATGTTCCAATTTATGTTTGTAAACTTATAAAATATGGTCCAATTCATTTTTGTAAACATATAAAATATAGTCCAATTCATGTGTATAAACTTATAAAATATGGCCGAATTCATGTCTTTAAACTTATAATTATGGATCAATCGATGTTTATAAACTTATAAAATATGGTCCAGTTCATGTCTATGTAAACTTATAAAATATAGTCCAATTCATGTTTGTAAACTTATAAAATATGGTCCAATTCATTTTTGTAAACATATAAAATATAGTCCAATTCATGTTTGTAAACTTAAAAAAAATGGTCCAGTTCATGACTATATAAACTTATAAAATATGGTCCAATTCATGTTTGTAAACTTTAAAAAAATGGTCCAGTTCATGTCTATATAAACTTATAAAATATGGTCCAATTCATGTTTGTAAACTTATAAAAAATGGTCCAGTTCATGTCTATATAAACTTATAAAATATGGTCCAATTCATGTTTGTAAACTTATAAAAATGGTCCAGTTCATGTCTATGTAAACTTATAAAATATGGTCCAATTTAAACTAGGTTTTGGGCACTTTGCGCCCCCTTTACTATTAACAGCTTTTGCTATGAACTTTGAACGTCACCACTCACCATTTTAAATTGTTCTTAAATTTTCGAGGATTTTTCTGTTAAAATGCGGGCAATTTCAAAACTAATAAATTTTGACTTTTATTCCGGGCAAAATTATTCGACCACACAACAACCTGATTGACAAATACTGGGCTCGATTGGTTCAGCTATTTTACGTTTATTGGATACAAACAAACAAACAAACACACAAGACAAGCAAAGTATGTAAATTGCACAACTTTGTTGAATGATTTTATTATAATTCATGCAACCTCCAACATTTTATAACTTTAACTGAATTGAATCATATTTCATTAATTCACAATTAAACAGGTTTTTACAAAAACACACAATAATAAATGGCTAATATGGTCTTTTATGTTCATTCTATTTTTGGAAAAAATAACAATTGTTTAGTTTTTCTTGTTCTCAATATTGTAAAATTGAAATAGACAATTATTTTCTATCAGAGGCGCCGACCTTTTAATATTATTTTAACAAGACTAAGCTCATTGATTATTCGCTATTTGAAAGAAAAAATGTTTTATGAATGAATATTGAATTTAAACGGAGTTTTTTTTTCAGATTGTTTGATATCTAATATTTTTATCATATGTTTTTAGGAAAATGAAATAATAGATATATCTTTTATGTAGTTTATTATATGCTAGCATTAAATTGCAATATCAACATTGGAATATGAAACGCGGTATAATGATAATATTATTTAAATTAAACAATCATTTGATTCCTTAACGTTTGTCACTTAAAGTCATTTCTTTTGTATACAAGGTGAAACAAATATGTTTTCGTTTTGCATTTAAAAATTGACGATGTCCAAATGTAAATTTTGAAAGTTTTTTCTCTTTGCTTCAAAATATCAGAATAATGTACTACACGCTAGGGTTTCAAGCGAATGAAGACTTTAGAAGAAATTATTTTTGCAAAAGGAAGCAAAAACGATGTAGAATTTCGCAGAAATAAAAACGAAAAATGCAAAATGTTCGGCAAAACAAAAAATTGTCTGGATTATGTAGAGGTTGTCTGTATCATGCAGAGGTTGTCTGTATCATGTAGAGGTTGTCTGGATCATGCAGAAGTTGTCTGGATCATGTAGAGGTTGTCTGGATCATACCAAGGTAATCTGGATCATGTAGAGGTTGTCTGAATCATGTAGAGGTTGTCTGGATCATGTAGAGGTTGTCTGGATCATATCAAAGTAATCTGGATCATGTAGAGGTTGTCTGTATCATGTAGAGGTTGTCTCGATCTTGTAGAGGTTGTCTGGATCATGAAGAGTTTTTCAGGATCATGTAGAGGTTGTCTGGATCATGTAGAGGTTGTCTGTATCATGTGCAGGTTGTCTGTATCATGTACAGGTTGTCTGGATCATTTAGAGGTTGTCTGTATCATGTAGAGGTTGTCTGTATCATGTAGAGGTTGTCTTGATCATGTAGAGGTTGTCTGTATCATGTACAGGTTGTCTGGATCATATAGAGGTTGTCTGGATCATGTACAGGTTGTCTGGATCATATAGAGGTTGTCTGGATCATGTACAGGTTGTCTGGATCATGTAGAGGTTGTCTGAATCATTTAGAGGTTGTCTGTATCATGTAGAGCTTTTCTGGATCATGTAGAGGTTGTCAGGATCATGTAGAGGTTGTCTGGATCATGTAGAGGTTGTCTGGATCATGGGTTGTCTGTATCATGTAGAGGTTGTCTGGATCATGTAGAGGTTGTCTGGATCATGTAGAGGTTGTCTGGATCATGTAGAGGTTGTCTGGATCATGTAGAGGTTGTCTGTAACGTATAGAGGTTGTCTGGATCATGAAGAGGTTGTCTGTATCATGTAGAGGTTGTCTGGATTACGTAGAGGTTGTTTGTATCATGTAGAGGTTGTCTGGATTATGTAGAGGTTGTCTGTATCATGTAGAGGTTATCTGGATCATGTAGAGGTTGTCTGTATCATGTATAGGGGATGTCTGGATCATGTAGAGGTTGTCTGTATCATGTATAGAGGTTGTCTGGATCATATAAAAGTTGTTTGTTATTTTTATAAAAAGCTTTAGACCCAATTTTAACCCCTGGTGTTCTCTGTCCCACGTCTGCATTTAAAGAATTTGTGTGCAACATTGTTTATCAAATGATTTTGCCAAACGAACTATTTGAAAACTATTTTCCTGATCAGAAAGAACAAAATCATGAAAAATAAGTAATTACACAGACAAACAACACCATAAGTTATGACCAATTATTACAAAATAATAATAAAAAACTAATGACAAAATAGAAAATACATGAAGGACATGAATGGAGATCAAAAAGTAAAAATTAAAAAACCCTTCAACATAATGTCTGATTAAAGATCAATAAATGCAAGTTTTTGTATCATGTCCACATAGGGTTTATAGTCGGAATTTCGATGCGCGGAATTGCGTGCAATGATTGATTTAGCTCAGGCTATTATTCCATTGGAAGCAATTAAATATTTGCGAAACTGCGAGCTAGAGATGTCAACGTTTTGATTTTTCTAGATTTTAGCTTTCGTTACGATAGTGTTCATCAAAAGTATAAACGTTTGAAACGTTGCGTTGCACAATTTGAAAATTTATGGGAAAGAGTAACATTACGTAATGAATTTTCTGCACTTGCATATCTTATACAACGTTAAGCTTTAGTAAATGTTAGTGAAAAAACAGTAAGCTCCGTTACGCTTTCGCATTTCCCGTTTTAAAAAACTTTCCCAACGTTGCGTTAAAGCTTATGTAATATAACCACAATTTTTTAACGTTCCACTTTCATGCAAGGTAAATATTTTCAGAGACCTTACGTTACACTTTCACTTGGTTTAAGATCTAAAAGATGACAAACGTTTTGCTTTAATAAAACGTTATTGGGGCATAGTTCTGTACGTTACAATGCATTTCAGTGCAAAGAATATTTTTTGTTAATGTTACGTTTTATCTTAACTTTTCCAATATAAACTATTTTAATTACGTTTAAAAATTTTACTAAAATGCACCTTTTCTTACGTTACGATTTATCGAAACGTTATTTTGAAAAATTTTTTGTTACACTTTTTTACAACTGACAATCAAAACTGTTTATTCCTTTCGTTTTTACGAAAGATTTGAAAAAATGTTCTATACGTTGCGTTGTATTAAAATGTTCAAGCCTTAATGTTTCTAACGTTACACTTTATTAAAATAATATTGTTTCTAAATGAAAGCATTGCAAGATTTTTTCCGTGATAATTACATTTTTTTACTCACCCTGTATGTTGCTGTTGTATTTTTAACCTTTTTAGAGAATGTGTAGAAGAATATGCATTATGCAATATAAAGATGTTATAATATTATTATTTTTAACGATTTTTAAAATTTGTAGATGAAAGTTTTTAACATTAGACTTTCAACTCAAAGTGTGTCTTTAAGGGACTAGAGAAGTAATTTCAAGTGACCTTCCATTTATGGAGTGGCATGTCCAGTAGGGGTGATCAATATTGGAATAGAGCCAAAAGCCCACCGGAAGTCGCTGCGTTTTCACCGTAAGGCCACAAAAAAATTTATTTTTTATTTTCATGTTATACATCATTTTCTTGGAAATTCAATGCGAAATTCAAATCTTAAAAGCGTTTAAAAAAATTTAAACTTGAGTGAGTCAGACTTATCAATAACATTAAAAAGTTTAAAAACCGGAATTTAGTATCGTTATTTGGCCATAACTTCTTTAGATTTCAATATATTTAAAAATGGTTTTCGAACCTGAATTCAGCATGAAATTTCCAAGAAAATGATGTATCATATTTATTTTTTGAAATAATTTTTTTAGGCCTTGCGGCGATTTCTCCAATATTAAATTGTCAATTATTATCATTG